AAGGGTTGTGAGACCCATTGTTTGAGAGGTGGCCAAATACCTAAGTAAATTTGGAGTGAATTGTAAGGTTACCAAGTACCCGTAAACTTGGAGATTGTAAGGTATCCAAGAACCCGAAGTCTTGGAAGATTGTAAAGGTTTGTCAAGCACCCGTGAAGCTTGACCATTAGTGAAAGAGTTGATCGAGCGGCTTCAGTCTGGACGTAGGTCACAAGTGGTGGTGACTGAACCAGGATATATTGTGTTTGCAATTCTCTAAACTCTAAACTCTTTATTTTTAGCACTTTAATTGCTTCTCTGATATCTTGTATGTGCTAGTATAAGTTATATAATTGTGATATATTATATATTATGGATTGTCTAAATATATTGATTAGCTTTCCACATATCAAAGTTTTCTTGAAATGATTATTTAGAAACTAGAAGGGGACTTTTGCGAAAATCTTATAATACTCAATTCACCCCCCCCCCTCTTGAGTATGGAAGCTACATTCCTAACAGTCTTGACTCAGCTCAATAACAAATTATTGACCCAAACTTGTTATGACATGCAATCAAGAATAACCTTGGTGTGTGACCCATTAGACCCAATTAGTCACTGACATAAATAATCTTGGACTAATTAAACTCCTTTAACGAGCTCAATTTATCTAATGACCACATGAGACATTAGCAATGCTCTGCGGCCCCAGAACTAATTGATTTAAAAAAGTGATCTACCTTTCTGATTTGGATATTGTGCCGGCATCATCCCTCATATCTTCGTTCATATTTAGTTGAGAGCAAGGATAGAGTAGCATCTCTCTTGTGTGACTAAATGTAATTTTTCACAGAACTAGGAATATTCTTCTATTGGCTCTAAGGTGGATCCATGACTCCTCGTGATCCCTTATTATGAACAAATTCTCGATCCCAATAGAGGTCATCCAAGTCCTATCGATCTTGTGAATGACTAATGACTCGTAGGGGATTATGAGTCTTATCGGTATGTCCATCTATACTCATATATTCGAGTTATACCCAAGAGTACATTGTTCTCCCCATTTTTAAGCAAATGGAGTTGTTCAGACAAAGTATAACCCTAGGACCTAGTGTTTGATGACATCCTCAAGACTAGGATGATCCGCACTACCAAACGATGAGAGACATTACAAATCCAATTATACTCTCTACAATGAATCTTTGTGGAGTCTCTCGATAGGTCAGTTCAATGTCATCTGTTCGCAAACAGATCCACCTATGACGTCAGCTAAGGCATCACCATGCCTGCATTCCATGAGGTCCCTACCTTGTATCTCCATACAAGTAGATGATATCGTACTAGTATTATCGAGATAACCAATGCCCTATCTTAGTGATTTAAGACTATGAACAAGTTTCAAGCAATAGATATGTAGTACACTCGAGTCCTCATGATCATGATCCCTACACTCGAGTCCTCATGATCATGATCCTTATCATAGATCCTCGAGTGAACACCAGTTATATCCCTAGGGCCTTTATCTTTAAACATATGTTAACTATAAAATATAAGCAAGACATAAACATGATATAGATAGTGTGCTCAAATAAATTAATCATGAAATACTAAACCGTAAAAAGTATTCATCTGATAAAACATATTATTTCTTGGATACCTACATACTAACAAAAATGAGATGGTTAAGCCATAATGTTGATGGCAAGGATAATTTGTTGCTGAAGTTTAGGGTTTTAGAAGGAAAAAAATTGCTGGAAAGTCATCTACTCCTATGGCTTTATAAGACCCCTTTTCAAATGGACATTACATGATTTGCTGCCAAGAGAGATAATGACTAATTACAAACAATTCTTCTACACCAATGGGCAACCACATGTTTGCTAAGGATAACCATCTATGTTGGGGGCTCTCTTCTTTGAAAATCTTTTGTAAAAATCATAGGCCAGTTGTTTGAGCACAACAAGTCTTCAATCCAATGGTTATTGTCATTACAAAGTTTATTGACCTTGTTTATATTGTGTCCAATAATAGGTTGAAGATGGAAGAATTTCATATTTTTATCACCATCAACTAACCATGATTTGAAAACACAATTCTTGTTTCTCAAGGATGGATGAGGGTTGTTGTTGCAGCACCTATGATAGTGAAGCCAGCATCCTTCCTTAACAAGGCCCCGTGTTGGTCGAAGTCAAATTGAAACATGATACTTGGGCTAGTAGGGGTAAGTAGAAAGAGTTGCATGTTGACTAACAATTATAGTGTTTGGCTTGGTGGTAAAGCTCAATCCAATACTTGGCATCAGAGCCAAGGTCATAGGTTCAATTCCTAGGATGACACTTTGAGAAAAGCAATTGTTAGTGAGGCCAACATCCTACATTGGCAAGGCCTGGTATGGGTCTAAGTCAAATCGAACCATGGATGGTAAAGGTAAGTAGAAAGAGTTGTGTCCTGACTAACAACTATAACTTTAGGCCTACCGATAAATGCTTGATCCAACAACCTATTCTCCTTCCAGCAAATGGGTAAAGTCATTGAGTTCCCGTTGTGATAAGATTCTTCCTATTTTGTCAACTAAGTGTTATTTTCTTCTATGAATATTTTGAAACACTTCCATATTCCATTTATAGAGACGGGGAATGAATCTCTAAAACATTTGGTGGGTGTCATAATCAGTATCTCATTCTAAGTTTAAAAGGTTGGGGAAATCTGGGAGATCAAGCCAAAGAGCTGAGAACTTGAAGGGTTTCCTCCACATGGACGAATCTATTTTAAAAAGATTGACTAGAAGAGGAAAGTGATTACAGGAGATTCTTGTCAATGATGAAACCCTTTATTATATTGAAATGTAACATTTCCACTAAAATAAAGAAAAAGAAAAAGCGAAAGGAACAAATGACACAATATGAAAACTATATCTCAGAAGTACTATTTGATTTATTCTATTTTGGTCTATGACTAATCAGTTCATTCCCAACAAGTCGATACCTAAAAAATCACCTAAACAAACATTTTTTTACTAATATAAAATAGTTTTATGTGAAAACCTAATTATAAAAATGTAAAAAACTTAAGAATGAATCCACCAAATTCCAACGTATTTGGTTGAGGATAGTATTGCATGCATTTTTGTAGGGAAAAAAAAGGCTTTTGACCAATATAATACAATTTTTTTAAAAAATATTAAGATAATATATTTTCAATATTATTTAACAATACGATATAGTTTGATCTCGATGACCCCACTAGTAGAACCAAGACATCATGTGACAACACCATGTGAGTCCTACTGGGCCCACTATTTTAAAATTATGTTAATTGGTACATAATTATGTATCCATAAGATTAAATTAAATAAAAATGAGAAAATTTTAAATAAGAAATAATAAATCGAATGATTTTTGTTTCAAAATCGATCCAATCCAAACTGAAAAATCCAATCCAAACCAAATAAAATTATTTTTGATTTGGATTTTTTCTAAAATCCAATCCAATTTTATTCGGTTTGGATTTGATTGATTTTTTGATTTTACAAAAAGCCTAAAATTTCAACCATACAAATCATTAGCTATATCAAAATAAAGTCATTTAAAGTTACAAACTACTAGAAAATTCAAGTCTTCAAACTAAAATAGTTCTTAGAACTCATGAAGAGTTAAAATAAATTAATATATAATAAAAACTAAAACAACATAGTTTGCTATCAATAACATCAAATATTTCAAGTCTACAAAACAACAAGATTACAAATCGTCATCTTTCAAAAATAATAAATACGTTATACGTTGGATCGGTTTGGATTGGATTTATTTTCACCAATCAAACCGAAAATCGATCCGATCCAATCCAATCCAATTATGCAACTTTTTTCAATTTTTAATTTTTCAATTTTTGATTATTTCAATTATCAATTTTCAATTCAGTCACCAGTATCATTGGATTTGAATTGATTAAATAAATAACATCTCTAGATACATTGAAGTTTTTCTCCAATATTAGGCCTAATGTAAGGAAATCCATAACAAACTAAACATAATAAAATTGACAAATTATTATTTTAATCGGAACTATTCAAGCTACAGACTGCTTATTAAATTATTTTTTACCTGTTTTTTAGATAAAGACTAAATTATTATCTCATAAAACCTAATATTTAAAAACTAGTTTTTTATTAAAAAATTTAAAACTAATTATTTAAAATAAATATTCTTTAAAATATATTTTAAAATTTTCCAAAAATAACTTGTCTAACATTTTAGGGGTCAACGCATGTTGAGAGCCAACCAAATTAAACTGAGCCAATATCTTTGGTTCTTTTTTTTATATTATTCATCAATTAATTAAATACTTAACTTATCCGATTCAAGAATCGCACCACACCGACGACAATACTCTTCCTATTAAATTTCATTTCCAAAAACTCGAAAGTCAAAACCTCCCATTAACACAACACACATGCATTTAATTGAAGTTTTTGAACCGTCATACTCAGGTCTCAGCCCACAACCCTAATTAAAAGGCCCGGATCTGTAACAATGCACACAATATAAGATAAAAATCATTTCCGCAAATTCATGCTGATAGCAACCTCTGATATAGCAACTACCAAATACTAGTCAATTTTAAAAGGAAAAATAAAAATAAAAAAGGGTAACCCCAAGATATATATATTCATAAAACTGGGGAAGCACAAAAACTACAGCTAGATGGACAATATAATAACAAGTTGGAAATCTAACTTTACCAAAACCACCAATATAAAAAAAATAAAAATGGGGGGGGACCTTATGAAACTTGAGTAACTCATCCCAAGAAAAAAAGCTCCCTCCTTAATTCGTTCCAATCAATTGAATTACTCCAAATGGAAATACTCTTTGAATCTCTGGTGGATAGTTCCTCAGGCAGAAGCAGGAACTCGAACAGGTATAGTTTTGGGAGTTGAATTAACAGCAGAACCACCAGTACGATTGACGCGGCCACCACTGGTTCCTCCCATATGATCACTTCTCTGATACCCATCACCGCCGCCACGGCTTGAAAACCCTCCCCGATTGCCATTCCTATATCCTCCAAATTCACCCCTGCCATTAAAGTCACTACCAACACGGCCATAGCTTCTGCCATTTCCGTAGTTTCCACGCCCTCCTCTTGCTCCCTCCCCTCGGTAACCTGGTGCCCTTCCAGATGAGAATCGTCCCCTGCTATTACCTGAACAGAGAATGCAAACATTTGACCTCTACATGCAACGTAAACCACAACACTAAGTAGAAAACCACTTTTCATATGAAATACCAAAGGCAAGACAGGACCCCAAATAATTTCTTTTTGCGAGGTATATGTTGAAAATAAATGCTAAATAAACTTGAAATAGGAAATTCAAGTCCCTGATCACAGCCAACGAAGAACCACACAAAAGAATGAAGTTCTCCCAAAAAAAAAGGGAAAATGGAAAGTTTTATTCACACAAAACATTGCATACCAACGTATGCTTTTACTGTAGCTGGGATCTGAGCACTAACCAACAGAACAAACAGAAATTTGTACCCTCTATCAATAAGCCAAATATTGTATGCTGTGTGTACTTATGGGTCTTGCCAAAAAGCAACAGCCAGGATTTGAAAAATTAAGAATTAGAAAGAAAACATTTGAATAACCATCTGCCCTCCCTCATGCAGCCAAATCGTTACCTTCATATATTATAATTATGTGGCTAGTCCTTGAGCAAAAGAAAAGCACACACGTCAAAACACAAGCTTGAAACACATTTTATTGAATTTACCATTCCAATAAAAACCCTTTAAGAGGGAATCACGGTAGACACATTTCATCAAAGTTAAAGCCACAATTCATTTGCATACATCATTCTGAAATGGAAGTGTGTGAGCAATAAATCATTGCATGCAAATATGGCTAAGTTTATGCAAATGTGCCTTAATACATGAACCCTATAAATTTCACAGTTATCATATCCAGAAACTGCAAATTGGCAACTTTAATGTGATTTGGACCAAGATTCGGTAATAAAAAGCACTTGCCACGATTAGTTGATCTCTTTTCTTCAACAACAACATGACGGCCATTGATCAGAATTGGTGAAGCCTGAAATGCCAATAAAAAATTTGACTATTAAATAAAGATACAGAATTAAAAATACAACTATCTAGAGCAATTATCATTTTTCTTTCGTTTTGATGGTCTGGCTAGTACTTAGTTACAGTGGAAATCATTAACACTTCTTCCATTATATTAATGATGCAGATTCATTGTAAGATAAATAGGCTTGAGGATAAAAGATACATAACTATGTTTATGTAAAATATAAGCAAGCAATCATGCAAAGATATAATCTTAGCGATAATGTTGACCCAACCTCAATGACATTGATGACTGTAAAGAGTAGTTAGTTGGAGATAGATTATGATGGTAATAACGATGCTGGGAATGAATTCATTTTTAAAAATGATGATACTCTTAAATTGGGTAGCTATTTTACAAGGCTTCAGGGTTGGGGAGCCTAGAACATATACAAGGCAGCAAGCTTAAAAAAGAAAAGAATTCTCCAGTGGTGCAGCAGCTGGAAAAGTTTGACAGAAAGGTTCAGGTGCGACTTCAACCTCGAAAGGAAAAGAGGAAGTGGTTGAAAATGAAGATAAAAAAATGGAATTTGAAGAAAGCCTAGAGGAATAGGAAGAACAATAAATTAATTTCAACAAATAGGAATGAGAAGAGGGATATACTGACAAGATGACAATGAATATATGATTACATTAGCGAGGAGGAGGAATAGATTTTAATTTGTATTTGTCTTGTTGTGCATCAATTAATTTATTGTAACTTGCTAGTTTCTACTTCTGTATTTGACTTTGATTATCTTATCATTTACGTGTACAATATGATTCTAGTTTAATGATCTTGATATATGTTATTAGTTTTTCTTATTTGTTATATTCAGCACTTTTAAGGACATTATATATATATATATATATATATTAGCTTTTTAATACAGCCACCAAGCTTCCGCCATAGACCACAATGCCATCAGCCATACTTATATGGCAGATTTTGGCTGGCCCCCATCTTCTATTAACACCACTGGCTGCAGCACCAATAAAGCACAGCGGCGAAGTAACATGTTGACAATCAACAGTCATTATATCCTTTATCAGGTGACTCAGTGGACAAAGAGATGGGTGAGTGAAAATGACAAGAATGTATACTGCAAAGCAAGTACATGAAGGGAACTGAATACGTTTCGCTAGTTGGTGTGATCCATCCCTTGACGAATTTGATGATTTAAATTTGGATTAAAAAAGTTTTCTCCATTTATAAGACGAAGATGAACTATACAAATTAATATTGAGTATGGAATTCTTGAAGATAAGGCATATCTGATAAATACCTCAAGTGCACTTTGCACAGCACTTGCCACTTCAAACTCCACAAAGCCAAAGGAAAATCCCTGTTCAACCCATTAATATGCAAAAATAGGATTAGCTAGCAGCTGATATTAAAGGCAAACAATTAACCAGTAAAATACCTTTTGGGTCCTAACTTGGATACCACCACTCTTAATAGGTCCAAACTTCTTGAACTCATTCTCCAGGAGGACAGGCGTAGCATTTGATGACAGACCCTTCACATAAATAGAATAGCCCTCAGCTGTCCAAAACCAATAAATCATGTCAATAAATCTCATTACAATAAACACAACAAAATTTGAACCATTAAACTAATAGTGCCTGATATTGAGCACCACACCTTCAGTTTCTTGATTGTTTCCAGTTTCATTAGTATTTATACTAGAATCATTTGTTTCTGACATGCTGCTTGGTGGAGGTGCAACAGTACCCTGTTGTTCTAGGCTCTTAACAGTACACTTCACAGAAACAGCTATCGCAGCGGAAGACAATGCTGCAGCATCTTTCATGACCTTAACCTAGAAAGGTCCACTAGTTAGAAAAGAAAAAACAAGTAACAGGAGAGATTATTACTCATCCAGATAAAAGGAAAACTTAAGTATCATTCCAGTCAATTTCGGCATTTCACTCCATATTATAAAATCAAGCATTATAAAAGAGACATTCCCAATGGGAACTCAGCATGAGTTTCAAAATAATCAGAAAGGCAGAAGGTTTTTCAGAATAGAGACTAACAATAGAGGCATATGACTTCTTTGGCACTTCTTCTTCAATTTGAGATGCTAATCCAGCTACCATCTGTGAATCATCAGGAATTTCATCAAGAACCTCAGGTACAGGAGCTTCCTCTTCTTCAGTTGATGCATGCCCATTTTCTGGATTGTAGACTTCTACCCCATCACCATCCTCAGCGGTCACAGTCATTTGCTCTGAAACTTGTGTCTCCAGCATAGAAGGATCTGCCACTGAAAGAAGTTTAGGGACAGGGGGATCTTAATATGAAAGCCAAAGGGAACTACAAAGCTTTAACTGAATCACAAGATATGCATCATATTACCATTGTCAGGAGAGGCAGGAGATCCAATATCATGAGCAGGCCCTTGGATTCCATTTTCATCAACATATCTGAAAACATCATTCAAAACAAAGTAGCCTTTCTCTTGAGGAGCAAGGAAGAAACATTGAGTAAATTTCTTCTTAATGTCGTCCTTTCCTATCATAAACCCAGTGACTAAGACAAGGACTCCCCCAGCATAAGATTCTTGTGCATCCACAGATATGATCTCAGCACTGAGTTCACCATAACCAAGTGATAGTATCTTCTTGTTAATATCCTGCTCAATAACAATTAAAAAGGATGCATTAAAATTTATAGAGAAAATATTAACCTCGTTTTGAGCACAATTTCTTATATATTTATGCATTCAAGTATTGGAAACTAAGTTAACAAATGGACTTCAGAGAATCAGAAAAATAAAATGAAAGAAAGGCCTTAAAACATGTTTTCTAAATGTACATAGTGCAATGTTGGAGTATTAAAGGAAACAAGAAACTACTAATACATAGGGGTAGTGGAGTAAGAGCCAGAAGTGTTACAGTTACACTCATTATACCAATAAATCAAATAGCAAACAAAATATTGTAAGAACCTATCACGGATATGAATGTAGATAATAATACAAAGGCAAACAGGATACAGGAAGCAAGTTGGGTACAGAGGAAATATGGGAAAGAGAAAGAGCGACTGAGAGAGAGAACTCACAAACATCGTTGTTGTAATACCCATTATACCATTTTGTTCAGGACGGCCAACCTTACTGACATCCTGGTAAAACCTATGCACCAGCTCAGGGCTTTCATGCAACATATGATAGTACTGATCAACAAAGGCATTACCAACCTACATTGTAGTTTCATTCAAAACAAGTCAATTGTCTGAAGATTAATAGAGAGCAGGTATAGTGCACAATAAGAGGTATATATGCATACAATATCAGCTGCAGGAGTTTTGGATGCTGCTTGCGGCTCTGAAGATGCCATACTAATGGTTTCCAAGAGCTAATCCAACTGCAAATTAAAACCACCAACTTGTCATGATAACATATATGCATTAGGTTAAAACATTATAGAAAAAATAAACAATGATTAAACTATATACAATAAGGTTGAAGCCTAAGGACACTAGACCGAAAGTCAATTAAAACAAATTAAGACAAAAAGCTGAGCCTCCATTTTAGCAACAGCAATCAAAAAACACCACAATAGGCTAAAACTATATAACAAAATTATTTCTCCAGTGAAACATTTCAAAAAAAGTAATTCAGCAAGCAAAGAAAGACCCAATAATTTTTTATTGCTTGTTCCGTCACATCCCTTCCTCTTAAACAAATATTTGTATAAAAAGTTCGCATCTTTCCTCAAAGTATTGATCACAGCCAACAAAATACCAAGCAAATAATAATAATAATATTATAAATTCATATATTACAGCGTAATTTCGATTTTTAAGCTTGTAAGATCAATAAATCATCTTCACTCAAAAAAAAAAAAAAAAAAAAAAAAAAAAAAACCTTAGCGCTCTACACACACTATTGATCCAACAACTAGTACAATACGCTACTTCCCGCCTAGAATTTCCACATTCCATCAAAAACCCACCTCAAACTAAATCAAAAATAAAATTCCAGGCACGAAAATTCAAAATCAAATACATTTTAAAAAAATTCAAAAAAAAAAAAAAAACTTGAAGAAGTGGCGGGGGAGAGGTTTACCAGAAAGAGAGAGAGAGAGAGAGAGAGAGAGAGAGAGAGTGGATCGGAGGAAGCGAGGTGAAAGAAGAAGGGTAGTTGGTGCGTGTTCTTCTCCGCTCCCTCTGCGGTAGGGGTTTGCTAGGGTTTGGGGTGTGGATCTTGCAGAAAAGAGTGAGAAAGAACACAGCACAGCACAGCACGAACGATTTAGAGAGAGAAAACAAAAAGCCACGCTATTAGAATTCGAGCGGGTTTTTGTTTATTTATATATAATGAGGGAGAATCCTGTGTGACACAAATGTTTGTGGGACGATTGAAGTCTCTAGAATAGGTTATTTAATTATTGTATTATATCATTGACAAAAGGTAGATTTATTAAAAAAAATAACATCGATTGAGATTTTTTTATTTTTTTTGGTGAGGATCGATTGAGATATTAAATTAAATAATGTCACAGGATGTGCAAATCTAACGTGATATGCTTTATAAGTAAGTTTTATTACAACCCACTCCTTTATTTTTTTCACGCCATTTAAATATTAATTATCATTATAAATAATATCATTATCATTCTAAAAAATATAATATTAAATTTATTTAGTAAAATAATAATTAATATAATAAATAATTCTTGGAATCTTTATAAATTTAAAAATATTAAATTTATTATCACCAATTACAATTTGATAAAAAAAAAATATTTTTGTAGAAAAATTCAAAAAAGCAACTAAGCCTTTGCAAGTATATCATTGCAGTGTGTTAACATGAAAATAGAGTGATTGGGCTATGTTATCTGATTACCTCAAGAGCTTGTACAACTAAACTAAAACGACTAAACTCGGCCGAGGTGATTACTTCACGCTATATAAGGATTTGTAGAGTTTGCATAACAAGTGAGACTCACCTTGAGCAATGAAATTGGATGGTTACTTAATGTAAACTTCTTTGTGTAAATCACTATATAAGAGCATTTTTAATATCAAGCTGAAAAGGGGGCCAGTGGCAATAGTAAGAAATTCTTGACGATATCGGGCCGGAACAATCTGTTCCTCCAGAATACCTTACGAACGACAACAAGGGTAAGAAATATGCGAATTGAGGCCATATTGCCTAGAGGAAAGAAGGTATCTCCATAATCAAATTAAAAAAATTGAGGGTATCATTTGGCCACTAAGTGGGCTTTGAGGCGATCAACAGTGTTGTCTAGGCTAACTTTAATAATGAACGCCCAATGGCATCCAACAATAGATTTTCTTGGAAGAGTGGGAATAAGATCCCATGTGTCATTTGAATGTAGAGTAGTCATTTCGCCAATCATCGCTTACCACCAATTTGGATGTGAAAGTGATTTATTTGTGGTTTTAGGAATGAAAATAGAAATAAAAGCTCGAAAAAAGGTAAAATATGGCAAAGAAATTCAATCACAACTAAAAAATGCTTAAAGAGGATAAGAATTGTAAGTGGAGGAGATACCTTTACCAAGGGCATTGGGAAGATTGTCTAACACGAGAATCGAGGCAGAGGTGACCAATGAAGGCAATCAGTCACCAGGGGCATCTCCTAAGATGGGGCTGTGTGGAAGGGCAGGCACAGAACCAGAGACACCTGTTGATGGAGGATTATATAAAGGAATCAGGAAGGTAATATTGACCTAAAAGCCAAGTGTAGCTGAAGAAGAAAAGGATTGCTAATAAAAAAAAAGTGACATCAACAACTATAATATAACATTGGAGGTCCAAAAAGTAGCAATGATACCCATTTTAAAGTTGTGAATACCCAAGAAAGATGCACTCGAAGGCTTTAGTTTTGAGTTTATCTTTTTCAAAAGTGAGATTGTGAACAAAACATGTACAACCAAAAACATAAGGAGGCACCACATATACGAGAGCAATAAGGAACAAAATAGGATGAGGAACTTCATTGTCTAACACAAATGAAGGCTTGTGATTTATAAGATAGCATGATGTAAGAATAACATCCCCCAAAAGTGAAGAAGAATGTTCATATGCAGGAGTATAGTTCTTGCATTAACTAGGAGTCAGTTCTTGCATTCAATGACGCTATTTTGTTGGGGAGTATGAAGACAAGTAGTTTGATGTAACGTACCTTATTGAGTCAAAAATTCCTATAATTCAAAGGTGTAAAGAAAAGAATGGTTGAACACACCACAAGATGGGGGGTGAATTGTGGTTGACTTACAATGCAAGAAATAATGAAATTCAATATCCCTTTTCAACAAAACAAGCCAAAATGAAATCAAACAAAATCTAAACTTTTCCCAACCCAAAAATAGAATTAAAATATGTCATATAACATGCAATTCAGAGATATAACAGAGGAATTTAAAGAGTGTCGGGAAAAGAAAAGAAATACTAAATTTATACTGGTTCACTCTCTAACCACTTTAAAGCTACATCCAGACTGATGTCGATCGCTCCACTATGTTCAAGCTTCCAACCGATACCTGAAAAGCCAAAGTATAAAGGCATTTTATAAGAACCTTGATCAATCTCAATCTATACCACTATAGGATCACTCCAAATCTCCAAAATGAATTATAGCAACAAACCAAAGTTCAACAAATGCAGGACAACCTCCCCACGTTCAGAATTACAAAACAAATTAGAAAAAGATGAAGAGAATAGAGAGATATTAAAGGTTTTTTCAAAGATATGAAAAATTAGGCCAAAGGGGTTTCAATCTGAATTCTAAATGATCTCACATTTTTCTTTGTTTAATTATTTTTTTGAAACCCTGAAAATATGTTTATATAGGTGCCTAAATGAGTTACTAGTCGTTGGACTCCTAATTATATGAATAACTTCGAGTTTAAGTCACTTAAAACAAGGAGTAATTGATTACTCCACGATAAGTAATCGATTCATTCTTCGAAGCAATCAAAATCGACTACTATTCATCAAGTAATCGATTCCTTCTTTGAGGTAATCGGATAATCAACTATTATTCTTCAGGTAATCAATTACTTCTTCAAGTAGCTCAGGTAATCGATTACTTCAGTAGATAAAGCAATTTTGCTTGTTGATTTTCGATTCTAATCACTCTTAAATGATTTACAATAACTTCTAAAAGATTCCTAATAACTTCTAACACATGTATGAATGTATATAGCATCATTCTAACATTGTTCCATGTGTGTGAGTTGTGTATGTATGAATCAAGTCATGTATATACGAGTTTATGACCTATTAATGCAATTGTCAAAATAAAGCTCAATAAACTCAAACTCTAACTTTCTAAGACTTTAAAATATTGTTTACAATATTGTATGCTTGAGTTTTCATATTTCTTCATAATTCTTCATTGATCTTCAAACATTGAGCCTTGTAGTTGCTTTCATCACTTGAATCCATTGGCTTTTAGGTTGACTTTGCACTTTTGACTAGTTTCTTCATTTTTTTCACTTTGACTTGATCTTCTAGTTTCATTTGAAACTTGTTGCACTATTCTCCAAGTTATGCATCCATGTTGAGGTGTAAGATGTTTTGTTATCATCGAAACTTCAAATCCTTAGAATTGATATTCAACAAAAGGCCACTTATTTTTGTGCATTGTCACTACGCAAAACACAAATAGTGGTTCCAAATTGGGTACAAAGTTCAAATTCATAATGATTATTCATCAAGAAAGCCTAGGTGTAACAAGAGTAATCATCAATAAAGGTCACAAAAATATATGAATCCTAAATTGGGCTTGGTCTGACTTAGACCCCAAATATAAGAATGAATAAGAGAGAAGGGGGTCCCCTTTTGTTGTTGCGATTAGCAAAGAAAGAACGTGTAACACCCCGTAGTTTTCCGGTTGTTAACATCATGATATTATAGAATACACAGCGGAAGATTTTATTTAAAGATTAACAAAACGTCTCGTAAAAATACGAATAAACTTTTTCCAAAAAATTTCTAAAAACATTTCTAAAAACGTTCACATGAAATACTGCGAAAGCGTAAATCTAAGCATACAACTGCTAATTAATCCCATTAGCCAGTATTAGTGGCCATTGACTAACTGGATATGACAACAAGTGTCATTCCTGCCAGAGTCTCACGGACAGCATAACAGTTGTTTAACGGATAACTGGGAGACAAGAATCTCACACATAATTACATTTGGTAGACATAGTTATATAACAGACAACTTGCAAATCCCACACGGACTGCAATCCCCATCTAGGGTCAGTACAGACATAATGGCTCTGTGCCCAAATTAATAAATCCATACATCATGTCTGTATGTCCTCATCATATGCATCTAACATAACTTGTAACAATTACAGACATAATCCAGAAGCTCAATTAATAACAATCCTGAGCATTATTACATACAACACATAGTCTATAAATAAACTAACTAGGCATGTCAAAACACTACACATGCCACATAACAACATAACAGCATAAAATAAACAGCAACCACAATCCACTAATTCGTAGCTAGGCCTTTGCCCTTAGACTGCACACTGCTACCATGGGTACCTGAAATGATGTCCCCAAAAAGGGGTGAGATAACAACATCTCAGTAAGCTCAAGGTTCTTAAAGGATCCTCTAAATCCCCTGAGCCCACTTCCTGCATGACAAGTCAGATATAAAGCATATAATACAGGCATACAACATAAACATAGCATCATCATATCATCCTTGTGTAACCCCAGGGTCAAAGCAATAGACGGTTACACATGTGTGACTCTAGGGTCAAGCCATAGACAGTCAACACAACCTAAGTATGAAATAGCTCCCAGAGTCAAGTCATTGGCAGACTACATACCATGATCATTGGCTAGGATCCTCATAACATATATCATTAGTTCATCATCATAACATCAAGAATCATATAACATCTATATGAATGTGAATGAATGCACATATATATCATACCACATACTTTCATACAATACAATCATAATGCCCACATCATGGTGGGGCCACAAGAGAGAGGAGCAACCAGAACTAGGAGCTTACCTCACTGAGCTTATCACAAGCCCAACTCCAACAGTAAAACACGTAAGCTCCAATAAATCCTCAAGTGCTAAGTCCTCTAGGCAAACCTAGAGCAGGAATCATTTACATCATTAATACTCAATCATTTAATGATTCCACATTTCATTCTTACATGCCAATAATATGCCTATTACAAGTCTAGACCATTTATTACTTAATTACATGTTTTTAGTGCATAAGGAATTGTTCCCAAAGTCCACAACAAC